TTATATATATATATATTGCTTACCTTTTACTTTGTGTAAAAAATAATCTAAATGTTTTGACATTTTGTATTAAGGAAAATAATAAAAAACGTAAGCATGCGCTGTATGTGAGATCAAAAAGTTGTTTGGTAATAAAATTTTTTTTTTGTAATTTCAAAAAAAGGTAACTGCACCCTTTAAAAATCTAAATAATGAAGAATTTATAAAAATATCTTTTTCTAGAAAACTATAAAGAAAGAAATTTAAAAAGAAACATTTTATAACTATCTAAAATAGATAAATAAAAGCTTAACGAATAAAACTCAGAAAACGAATAAAAAATAATGATATGCATTACTAAAAATAATGATATACAATTATATGTTATAAAATATATAAACACATTATATACATAAATGTATTAAATTTTCAAAAATAAATTAATTAGCTCTTCTGAATGAAATATTGAACCAATTATTTTTTAACAGCTAAACCACTTACACCAGTTTACACCACTTGATTACTAAACATATTGATTTTCCTAAACCACCGAATACCAAAATAACGGCCTACAAATACCAAATGATCACAAAACTAATGGCTCAATTTGAAGCCTAATTTAATACAAAGCATGCTAAGACATATATAGTTTCCGAATCCTCCCTTTTTTTTGTCTTAAGATTCGATTTTCTAGTTACAAATTACAGCAAGCAAACATAGATAGTTTCCTAATCTGACTTAACTCATTATTTTTATTTAATACCTCGTCAATTATAAGAGAGACAAAATTGAAATCAAGAAGGCAGTTTTTCAAATATATAATTTATTAATATTTTTATGCATTGATTGAATACCCCGTGCAATGTTTTTATAACTTTAAGTGCATCATTTTACAGTTCTAACATATATATCATTAGAAAAACCATTTTTCTCGATAATCAGACATGAAAAATTAAAATTTTCGACTAATTTTATAATTAGATATAATTCGTTAGATATAATTCGTTAGAATGTTAATTTTTGTATGAAATTTTCTTGAATCAATATTTAATTATATCCTTTTTGTTTTACTTTTTATTATAGATTGTATTAATTATATTATTTATAAAATTTATATTAATTATAAAATATATTAATAATAAAATTCATAAAAAAATCTGCATAAATGACCATCTATATATTTTTTACAAATTGTAAGGATCAATTTTAATTTAAGCAGGATAAGCAGCTGAATATTATTATAGAATCAAATAAGTTTTGGCGTAAATTGGATTTATAAATAATTTCGGTAACAATATTTAATGAAACAAATTATGTTAAGATATTAATTTGAAATTAATAAATTAAAAATTCTATGCTCAAGAATAGTTTATGACAAAGCAATAATTACTTTGTGTCATTAAACATGACAAGTTATGTATCATGATTTATATGAAATCAATGTTTTTAAACTTTCGAATGATCGAAATTTCTTAATTTCGAATACTTCAGAATAGTAAAGAAAAATTTGTACACCTAGTTTGTTATCAAAATTTTGGATTTTCTAATGATATTTCTTTATTGAGTCCGTGTTTTGTGAAGTGCTTTAGCTTGCTCCTATTCTTTCAATTTACTCAAGCAGTCGATGATACATCCTTTGGCTTTTTACAAATTCCATTGGTCTGAAAGGGAAAAATAATTGAACTATTTTGAAACATACAAATAAAATGCTAACATTCATTTAGTTTTTTCAAAGAAAAAAAATAGTTCAATTGTGAAATTATAAATTATTTATCGTAAAAGTTTAAGGGAGAAAAATAATTGTACTATTTTGAAACTTACAAAAATGCTAACATTTATTTACTTTTTTCAAAGAAAAAAAACCAGTTTATTTGCGAAATTATTTATCGTGAAAAGTCTTAAAGGGAAAAATAATTGTGCTATTTTGAAGCATGTGAAAAATATTAACTTTCATTTAGTTTTTTCAAAGATAAAAATAGTTTCATTGTGAAATTATAAATTATTTATCGTAAAAAGTAGTTGTCTTTTTCAGTAAAAATCCTACTTGTCTTTGTCTATCAAACCTTTAAGACACATTAGCAAATACAAGGGAAAAAATGTCGATCCTTTTTTATTAATTTATTATATCGTTAAAACTGTATGATGCATAAATAGTTTCAGCTTTCAATTATGCTAAAACTAATATAGTAATATAAATTGGAAAGATCAGAGACCGGAATTATCTAGTAAAAAGAACCAAAATCGTTTTGTTTCCGTTGAAAAAAGTGAAGCAACACCTGAGCAAAAAATTGATTTGCTTTCGTTTAAAAAACTAATAAGATTAAGAAAAATTATTCCTTTTTATTTATTTATTTATTTCAACTATGCTCTAAGTATTGAATTGAAAAAATCATATTTTGTATCGGAAAAGGCTAAAGTTTTTATGTTTGTTTTTGATGTATAAATTTTGAAATGTATATTGCAAGGAGATAAACACATATTAAGCACCAGTTTTTTAATATTTGCTTCTGAAATTGCTTCTGAATTGAAAGAAAAGAATTATAATTGCTTCACTTTTGTGATACAAACTTTAAAAATCATTTCGTCAGCCTTCATTGTCTAATAGTCTACGTTCATTTTTCAAGCAATTTAAATCTCGGTTTTTTAGAACAAAAATATTTTTACTGCCTCAAAATGAAGAGAGAAACGAAAACGTTTTTCCTAGGTTATGTTAGCATTTTGATTACATTGATTGTACAATTAAAAATGATATAAATTCTATCTAGAAGATGGTGGGTTTGATGAAGATTGTTGTTAGATAAATTACTTATATAAACTTCAAACTTTGACGTTTACCTGTTTAGTATAATTTTATACTGCAGTATTGTAAGTATTACTATCAGACCTTGAAAATGACATGTAATCGACTCAATACATGCTTTTAAAGCATTTGGAAATGATCTCCTTACAGAGACCCATAATTCAATGGCTATACTATATGAGTCAAACACCCGCCTTCCGGATATGGCACAAATTAATGCTATCTGGTAGAACCTTACATGATATGTTACCCACTTGAAGTGTTTGGTGTAGGACATTCTTCGTTGATACATGATTCTCTTCCAAATTACTTTTTTGACAAAAAATGCTTCATTCATTTTGTCAAAATTAACAATTTTCTTGTCATACAATATGCCATTAAAGCTTAATAGAAGTTTAAAATTTTCAATGATCTCTCGCAAATTTCTTGCCTTGGTGAAAAATTTAATCTGTAGCTTCTAATCTAATGAAACGGTGAAACAAGGCTTTGCATGCACCCAGATTCTTATAAATTGAATCAATATTTCTCTTTGGGAATCTTTTACCAATGCCAAACGCAATGTAAATATTCAAATGTGTATACTTCGTAATCCGGTGATACTACGTGATATTATTTCAACTAAAAATATTACAAAATAATTGCATGTTTATTTCGTTTACTGTTGTGATATAAACGCTTTTTTATAAAATTAAATAAGCTAAAATCAACAGTAACTGAAAAAAAGGATGTACTAAAAAGCTAAGTTAATGAAAGAAATAGGCAGATTTGCTTAGGAGAAACTAAAAAAGCACCCCACTATTATTGACTCCAATGATACTAAATTAATTTTGTTAATAAGTATTGCTTGTATTGCGGTAAATTAGTTCTGTTTTCAATAGGATAAATATAGGTGCTACAACAACCATTATGGTAATAAGTTTATAATTACTGTGCACCAAAAGGGAAGGCATGAATACTGGAGAAAATTGAATGATTATGAACAACTTGGACAGACATGACTTGGTCTTGAGAAGCAGCATTCTGATCGCTCTAAAACTTTATTTTAATGTAATAAACTTCTAAAAAATATTTTGTTTAAGATAATAAGGTAAAGCCAACTCCCAGGGAAATAAGTGAAAAAAATATTTTAGCTAAATTAATTTTGTAAGTGTACCTTTAAGTTTTATGCAAAACTTCATAGTTGTGATCAAAGCTGTAGAGTCGGAAGTGGAAATGTTCGAATCTAACACCAAATCCAAACTTTCGACTCCAGATTTGATTTCGATTCATACTCAATTGAAGCTTTTTACCGAATTTCAAGAAAGTATTAAATGCTACGATATCTGCTTTTAACATTTTAACGTTTAATTAAAACAATTTAGTTTAATTAAAAACCAAACTGCAAATCTACTATTTAAATTCCTCAATTTTTAGTTACCTGCTCTATCTACAAATAACAGTGTTGATAATTGTATTGCTACATTTTTTTATTCGTACAAAATGCAAATAGTCCTGAAATAAAGGTCTGCAATGAAACCAAATTTACAAAGATAAAGCAATATTGGGTGAAAGGTAAACCTCAAATTTTTAAACACTTAACGATTCCTAAAACAGAAAAAATATAAAGTGAAAAAAAAATGTTTTTTTAGCAGATGTGAACTCAGTGGTTTTTAAATAACAATGATGACAAGAAATTATCCTTTGAATTTACAATTGGTCTCTTTAAAAATTTTATAAAAAATTATTGCAATGCATTTTAAGATAAACTTTATTTGAAATGAGCGTAATGCCTAGAAGAATAACAGTCCTATTATCAACTCGATGTTTACAAATAAGATTTCATGTTTCTCTTGAAAATTTTTAAAACTATTTTATTTAATAATTTAAAAAAGGAATGTGTTTAATAAAATTAAAATATACAAAATAAATCATTGAAGGAACATTGAGTTGAAAGAAAATTCAGTTGAAGAACAATGGCTTATTACAATGGATTCTTTACTATTTTAATTTACTAACTATTGGAAACATAAATCTAAATTATCTAATTTTCAATATGAAAATTTTAATATGCTCTTTAAAATAGATATTCCCTCTTTAGCTCGTGCTAAGTGTTATTTTCTGGGCATTAAATCAGTGTTTAGATAAATATTTACAAGAGCCATGTTACTTATTTAAGTGAGCAAAATAAGTGCTCCTTACCTTGGATTTCACAGGCTTTCTAGTGGTAGTTGGCTACAAAAAGACGAAGTTTTTTTGAACATTTGCAGCAAAATATTTAAAAGAAAATAAATTGAAATTAAATCATAACAAAAAAGAAATAAAGAACTTATATTTTCTTGTATCTTTTACGTCAATGAAGTTTGTTATTGCGTCATTCTCTAAAAACATTTCCTTGTTAAATTCTTTTGTAGCAATTAATAATAATATCTTTTACAATATGAAATTCAATGTTATAGAACTATCATTAAGAGCAACATGGCAGCTTATTTTCTTATTCTAATTAATGAAGTTTGAATGCATCAAACCTAAAGTAACAACGGTAATTTTTAAATTTTTAATTACTATTGTTTGGAATAAAATAAAAACATAAAGCATAAAAATTAGTCGTGATAAGTTTTTTTTTCTCCGTATCTGAATATAATTGTAAAGAACTGATTTCAGATATCAATTAAATTTCATTATTATTAAACCTCAATCAATTCCGTTTTTAAATGTTTTTCATTATGTAATTTCAGCATGTGTAGGTGGTGCAGCTGTCCAACATTCTGTCAGTCAGAAAAAAATGTTTAATAGGGAGTATGATTGCCTGTAACAGAAGCGCAGCTCTACCATTAGTATTTCATTCTGTTTAGAAAGATACTAAACAATCTTTGTGGCAACCGCATCCGCTCTTGTACCATGGCCCATAAGGGGGGTACCCATAAGAGATAGAGAACATCACAGACCACTCCAAGGATTGAAAATCCTCTGAATGAAGGTATTCGTGCTGTGCCCTGTGTGTTATCTTTAATAAAAATGAAATTTGGTGCTTATGCTTGACATAGGTTGCAAATATCTCGTCCCTGTACGCTGGTCTGGCAAAGTAAAACATCGAACACATGGAGGTCACTATGGTCTTTGGCCACGATGCCTGCCCTGACCATCCTTTTCGACAATGTTAGAATGCTGATATTGACTCCTGGATTCTCTCCAAATGAGTACACGTCTCGAGTAGTTTTCATGTCTTAAAATTGACTCATCACCGAAGAGAACTCGGCCCCAATTTTCCTCTGTCCAAGACAGGTGTTCTCTGCACCATCTTTTTCGTGGTTTATAGTCAAAGGGAGGCGGGCTATAGGAAGCATGGCACGCAAGCCACCTTCATTTAAAGCCCTGAATGCCTATCTGAAATAGCAGCATTCTTTTTCTGAGATCTCACTTAATGGATTCTGTATTTCTCATTTTGTTTTAAAAAAATTAGAAAACTACCCTTTTTAAAAATTTTCTTAATATTATTTTAAGATATTAGTAGGAATTAGTTATAAATTTTGATTTTAGTCGAAAATTTTAATATCTTAATTAATTAAATATCATTATTATTTAGTAATGATATATATATTTTGAAAGAATTAACAATAAAGAGATAAATACAGAAAAAAAAATCTTGAAACTTTATTTTATGCTTTTATTTCATTATTTTTATTTTACATATATTTATTTTATTTTCTAATATTATAACAAAAGAGCAGTTTCTAAAAAGGGAAAACAGAAACAATGCCAATAAATTAAGAAGCATTGTTTTGTTTTAAGGAATACTGACGCCACTTTCCTATGAATGAAAACATTGAAAGCGTTGATTAAAAAGGTTTAGTAAAGAAATGAATTTTTTTCTAACATATATATTAGAGTTACTGAATGTATATCAATGGAGTATTTATTTGCTGAATATTTTAAACAAATATACAGCAATCAATAAGGTTTTTCCTTAAGCATTATTGCTGCTCAATTTTTATAAATTTTTCTATATGACATATTCGATAACTTACACTGATAGAGATAAATAAAAGAAGAAAATTTTTATTTAATAAAAAAATATTATTATTTGGTAATATTATATTTTTTTAACGAATCAACGAACAAATGATAAATACCAAATGAAACATTCTGAAGCTTTAACTAAATTAGGCTTCTTTTTTAACATACATTCATTGTATATTCTTATTTTAATGCAAAAGAGCAAGTTTCTTAAACGTGAAAACAAAAACAATGCCGCGAAAGTAAGAAGTATTATAACGTTCCAAGGAAAACTTACCTCACTTTCCTGTGAATAAGAGCATCAAAAGCTTTAATTCAAAAGATTTACTAAAGAAATTATTTTTTTTTCTAAAATAAACATTAACATTATGTGCATCTTTGAAACATTTTATTTGTTTAAAGTTTTAAACAAATTTAATAATGCATAATAACTTTCTTTTAAAGAATTTCACTGCATATTATTTTTCAGTTTCTCTATCTGGTATATTCAATGACTCTATCTGAGACAAATAACAAAAGAAAGAGTTAAAAATAATTTTTATTATTATTTTTTTTTTTTGAGAAAATATTGCATAGTAAGAAAAAATCAACTATGTATGGCAAGTAATTCGGGGAATTGAGGGAAGCGGACTGACATGACTGATACTTAATTTTGATTTAATTCTTACACAAAGTACATGGTATTTCGTAAAGGCTTTCAGATAGGCATCGTTATGCCCATTGTTATTATTTTTTAACAATTTTCTAT